TTCCCCTTTTCGCTCTGTCCCTCCTCTCCCTTTCCACTCGTAATGATCGCAACGCTTCGATGCACCCGGCCTCAGAAATACTGCACCATAACCAGAGGAGGAGGAGGAGGAGGAGGAGGAGGAGGAGGAGGACCATCCTCCCCTGTTACCCCACTCGATTGTTACGTTATATATAAATTATTATCGCGTTATTACAGCGGAGGAGAGTGGCTCTGGTGGTTTCTGTTCTTCTATCCTCTTCCTTCGTTTTTTTAAATTTATTTATTTATTTATTTTTACTTATTATTTCGTATCGGGGACGAAATCGGCGGGGAGAGAAGAGGTTTGCGGGCAAGTTTGTTTGTTAGGGTTGGTTAGGAGAGACGGTTCGAGTGTGACTAGTTTTTCCACTCTGCGCGAAGGGGAGACGTTTCTTTCGCAGGATCGTAAGGCGAGATGTTTAGAGAGGAAAGTTTCGAATAAGTCGAGGAGATCCTTTAAAATAGAATGTTATAGTTGTTATATTACGTGAATTTTTTACGCTGCTTTTCCTTTTTATTTCTAGATATATCGAAGAGACGAACGAACGATGATAATATTTTTCTTATCCTATCAAGATATTAATAAAGATTGGAGATTATTGCATGAAAGTGATTGAAAATAAAATGATGGAAGTGAAATTGCTAATCGTGGAAGAATAGAATGGATGCCTCGGATGATTGGGAGAAACGGCACGGAAGTAACGGACGCTTATGGACGCTTATCATAAACGTAATGAAGAATTCTGTGGAGAATTTTCTGGACGAAGGAAAATAGGAGGAATTCTTCCCCCCTTCCCTTATATAAATTCGCTTTATGCTTGTTAATCTCGATCGTTTAGTGTTGTATACACGATCGAGTGTATAATGCAAACAAATTACAAATTCGTCCATTTTCTCCCTTCGATATCGTTTACCTTTTTCCCCAAGAAAATCTCAAGAGCATCGAGATTTATTCGAAACTTCCTTCCAAGCTTAACTCGGGAGTCGAAAACTTGGAATTCAAATGGTAAAAGTGTGTGTGGGAACCGGAAGTGTCCTCGAGGAGCGATCCCCCTCCCGATCCTCTGTTGCATCGCGAGAAGAGAGATCGGGGAGCGTTTAGTCAAATACCTCGTCGAGGGAGGAGGGGAGGAGCGGTAAATCAGGGAAAACCTGGGGACAGTCGTGCGTTCCCTTCTTCCACGCCGGAAGACAAATGTCACGGGGGTGGTGGAGGGGTGGAGAGAGAGAGAGAGAGAGGGAGGACGCATGGGGCCTCTCCTCCGTGGCGGTAAATCAAGGCTTCGGTGATATTAAAAGGCCGCTTATACGCGAAAACACAAGATTTATTTCTGCTGAAAGGAGAAGAGATCGGCAAGAAATCGGTGTATATACGGGCGGCCAATCAATGGGCAGGGAACGGGACGAATACGGGATAAAATGGAAGAAGAAGGACCTTGGCTATCTGGGTGGAGAAAAAGGAGGGAGGAGAGGGGGAGAGGGGGAGAGAGAGAAAGGAGATCGATTCGAAAGTAACGAAACGGAGGGAGATGGGGAAAAAGAGGAACGAGAAAGAGAGCCACGCGATTCAGCCGAGAAAGTTTGACGTTCGGCGCGGAAAGAGGAGGATTCCTCTGGAATTAGAAGCAACTTCTTTGCCCCGAGACATCGAGATTCGATTAAAGTAGGCTGATTTGGTTCGTTACGTTTTTGCCCGATCGTGGATTTGCGAGATGCTCGAATCTGCGGGTTTGGAATTTATTCAAATTTTTAGACAGGATCGAAAATAGAAGAGGGGAGATGTAGAAGAAATAGGTGAAGACGAAGGCGGAGGCATCTCGAAAAAGGGTATTTTGGGTAATCAGTTATCCAAATTCTGCGAGTACAATCGTTACGAGACGAAAAGCAAAGAGAAAACGAGACGAAATTTGGAAAAGATCATGGGACTAAAGTGGAAGAAAAAGAAAAAGATATGGACTGAGTTTTGATCGTGAGAATCACTTCGAGAATTTATTTTTCGAGTACAAAGAATCGAATTTCAAATGAAAAGCAAAGACAAAGGGAAAACCAAATTTGGAAAACTACGAGACTAATTTTGATCGTACTTCGAGAATTTATCCAAATTTTGCGAGCACGAAAGAATCGATATGAAATAAAAAAAGAGAAAAAGAAGAAAATGAAAAAGAGAGAAAGAGGAAGAACGAAGAAAGAAGAAAAGTTAGGAAGGAAGGCATGGGGTAGGTTATCGGGGTGTCGGGATGAGTGAAACGGAGAGGATTCACCCCTGTTTCGGTCGAATAATCGTGTCCTCCTCGTCGAAAGCGGTTTGCTCCAGCTAATATCGAACCATCGCCCACATTCAAAGGGATGTCGGCAGGGAAGGAACGGACGGCATTGTACTCGCCCTTCGAGGGCGATTCTTCTTCGAACCGTGTCACTTTTGACGTTGCTAATGAAAAGATCGCTGTATCAAGAAATACGCGTGAATCGAAGGGGAAAAAAAAAAAAAAAAAAAAAAAAGAAAAAACAACTTTGTTATTCATCCTTCCTTACTTTTTCCCATCCCATCCCATCCCATCCCCGAAAGATCGTTGATGGACCGTTGAACCTCTCGCCTTCTTCCAACGTAACTTTCCAACGTAACCCGATCTTCACTTCCTGCCTATTAAAATACAAAAGTAATTTTTTTCAAGCAAGTTAAACAGACCATACCATCCAATTAAAACGTGGACTCGTGGAGTTTCGATGATTCGAATGATTCGCATACCAGACGAGACGTCGATACGTCTCGGATATCCTCGTGATCATTGCGGTTTACGTGATCACTGCGGTCGAGATATCATTATTCGGTACCGGTGCGTAATATCCTGCTCTATGCACGAATGAGTCTGGAGACAACGCGATCCCTCTGGAACACTTTAATCAACGGACAGATACCTCTCCTCTCTCTCTCTCTCTCTCTCTCTCCATTAGAGAAAACAACACCTTGGAAAGGATGTTCTTTGCACTCTGCGCAACGACATAGAACGATTTCAATTTCATGCTCCCAACCGTATTAAACCTTCCGGTTGCGGCATGGTAAATCGCTTTTCCTTTGACGATCATAGCTTATTTTTCCATCGAGGGAGAGAAAAAATCTTGATCGTGATGGTTTATCGAACCTCGAAGTGCCTCGGTCTTTCGATGGGCGCGTCTTTGGATTGGCTGATTGCAGATATCGTGTATTAACTCATGTCTCGCGTTTCTTTTTTATTCGTGTATCGTCGTATCCTGCATCGGGAGAAATTCCTTCTCAAAATCGTGTATAATCAAAAGATTTCTTGAAATTTTAATCGTTGAGAACGAAATGGAAAAGGATCTCGCGAAATTTCATTTTTTCTGAAGGATCTGAAAATTAGACTCCTCGTGTCCATTCTGAATTTTTATTAAGATAAGAGGCGGGATACAGGCAGAAAGGGTTAAATTTAACGAAAACTTCCCTCGAGCGAGAGAAGGGAAAAAGATCGCATAAGGTGCTTCGCTCTGCCGACCGAATTATCGAGGAATTTCCAAACGATTTCCTCGAATCGTTTCACTCCCCTTGTAGTGGCCGTAACTACCCCCTTGCACCACGAGTTCTCGACTCCTGTTTTCCTCTTCCATCTCCTGGGAGTAATAATCGCTGTGGACCGGAAAAATTCCGCGACAGAAGTTAAACAAAGCCTCGAATGAGAAATAAAAAAAAAAAAAATGAGTGAGAGAGAGAGAGAGAGAGGAAGAGAGGAAGAGAGGAAGCGCGTCTGGGAGAGGAGAGGAAGAGAAGGAAGAACGAGACGCGGAGAAACGGAGCGAGAGAGAGTGGTGATGGTTCGACTGTAATAAGGGTGACCAATTTTCCCCTCACCCCCTTTGCATCCCTCTGTTCGACTGTTTGAACAAGGCTCATAATTAATACGCATATTCGCTTCTGGAAAACCCGCTTGGGGCAGGGAGACATTTTTTTTTTTTTTTTTAAATCCTCCACACAACGGATATTTGCTCTTCCTCGCGGTTTCCAAACTCGAGCTGCTCCTGCTTTCGAAAACTTCTTTTTCCATGTTCTCACGTCTCACCCTCTGGATTTTTTTCTTTTTTCTCGATAATCGATTCGATCGATTTCGAGCGAGATGATTCCTTGTCTCTCTCAGAATGGTGTCAACGATTCTTGGAACGGATGGATTCTGATTTTGCACGAGTCTCGAACTTGATGTATAAAATTTTTCGCCAATATTTTCCAAGATGCATTCCACGTTCGACAAAATTTTTCCTAATTATTTCTATCTCGAAGTGATACGATTTTTAACGAAATTATATGACGCAATTGTTTAAAATTATATATATATGAATATTTGGTTCCTCTTATTCGCGGAAATTTAGAACGAAATTTTTGGTAAAAATGAAAAATTATCCATTCTCTCTCCATTCTTCCATTCCTGGAATATATCCAGGCTAGATTTTCCACGAAACTTTTACCTCGATCGTCCGTACCTGGCTCGTTTCGCGGGGGATATCTGTCTTTAAGAGCATTATCTGGATGGTGGACGGGTAGGGAGAGACGGCAAAAACCGTCCGCCCCCTCGTGGTATGTGAAAAATGATGCACAACCCCAATCCCCCGACACATCTCCACCCCGGGAATGTCCCGAAGGAAGCGTTCCTCCTCGTCGTCTTTCTGGTCCACGAGCCGAAAGACGTGTCACGGGCGAGGTTGCATTATTCGAAACGATTAACTGGGTGACAGTGTTCGTAAAAAATAATCCTCGAAATATATTTTTAATACTCTCGAGAATTTATCACGTATCGATCGCGCCAGAACAGGGATTTTGGTGTGAAATATGTTGAATTTTGAATCGTGGAACGAAATTATTAGTCTTACTTTTCTTATTATAATCTATATTATAATCTAACGTTAATTTTTTCTTTTTTTTTTAATATTGAATCTCTGTAGATAATATATAATTTGTGTTTGATTTTTCTTACTCAGGTATGCCGAAGTTTTCTCGAAAACACCACCGGTCGGTATTCGAAATGGTGTCCTTCTCTGCGAGCCGCACAAAGGATTCCTGTACTCGCCTTCCATTAACAACGAGCTGTGAGTAATTCCTCTCTTTGAATTATCGTTCCCGTGAATGGTAGTAGAGATTTCATAGAGGTAAGAAAATGACGAGGTTTAAGGTTAAAAATTTTTCCCTTTCGAAAGGATTTTGGAAAGAGTGAAACGTTTGCTCGGAAATGTTTTTCTCTTTTTTTTTTCTTTTTGTTTTAAGTTTCACCCTTAACCACTGTATTATAAAGCGGGAGTGCGTGATCTCCTAGCCACCACTTTCTTATTTGCCCATCCTCCGCGTGACGTGATGGATACACGAAAATGTCACCAACACGCCCCCGGGGCCAACGTGGCAATCCACCCTCTCTGACCATTATGCTAAACCATTGTCCACTATCTGCCTAAGATAGCCGACGACTCGAGTCGTCCGCTCTGTGTGTTCGCCCCCTCCTGTATCCCCCAGACCGTTAAAAAATCATTTTAACCCTCGATCTTCGACCTTTCGCCTTATTTTATTCTTCCTCTCTCCATACTTCCTTTCAACCGGTAATTCAAGCAATTCGATTATGATTATCAGAGGGAACAATTGATTCTAAATTCTTCCGCTCTGTAATCCTTGTTCTTCGCTATTTCTTTTCCAAGTCTTCCAATTGAAACGTTTTCAACGACGGAAAAACGGTGAAAATTTAATAGTCGATTAAAGTTACGAATAAAGTTACTTGGAATTAAGTTATTTCGATAATTCATTGTTCGAAACAATCTGAAATAATTGCAATGCCAAAAATGATCAATTATAGAAACGGATCAATTATAATAAATTCGAGAATATTTCAATTAGTAATTAACGTAACTTTATTCGAAATTTTCAACTAGTTACTTTCTTTTTAATATCCAATTCTGTCTAATCGATCAGTTGATTATTCGATATGATAAAAATTAAAAAAATTGTATTCAATAATCGCGTCTCGTTTCGAGGCTTGTTATTTTTTTTTTTTTTTTTCTTTTTTTTTTTCTCTCCTCCGCTTGGATTTCTCCGATTCCCTCCCTTTTTCTCCGACTCATCCTCGATGCATCCACCATTATTCCGGCGTTAGGCAAATACACGAGGAGAGACGACAAGCTCGTCCGCGTTGTTTTTTGCCTCGTGAAAATTCAAATGAGACCGCGCGGCATATTGCGTTGAATCGAAATTAATGTCGCGCAACTAATTATCGGCTGGGGGGAGAGGGGAGGAGGGGAGTCATCGTCGTCTCGTATCAGCTGGTTGATACCACCTCCCCTTTCAAATCGCGCCTCTGCGAACCTTTCCTTTCTCGAAATCATCTAGGAGATCAATCCGATCCGATGACTGATTCGATTTAAACCTCGTGCAATTTTCTCCAATTTTTAGAAATTCGTACTTTCGAAAATTAAAATTTTTAAAAATATGTGAAAAGTTACGCGATCGACGTAGTTAAAAACTTTGAAATTTTGTATGAAATTTGGAAAAATTGAAATCCTCATCGACAAGATCATCGAACGACTTTTTAACAATCGTTTTCTCTCCGAACGTGTTGAAATCTCTGTCTCCGTATCCTCTTGGAAATCGACCTTGGACCTTTAGATCCTTGGAACTTTTTTTCTACTGCGTGTCCCTCGTGCGACACCCTCTTTTCCCCGAAGAAGAAATTGAACGAGATCCCGAAGGATCGATAGATGGGTAGATAGACTTGGGTAGATTTTTGAAAAGGCGTTATCGATCGATAGGGAGGCGAGATGCCGGCTCGTGGTGGTTGAGCACGAGGTTCAGGAACCACGCCAGGATCGGGCGAACAATTGCGGGGCAAAAAGCTGGAGCCGGTGCGCGGCAAGAAATTTCTAATTTGCGGTATAATTAAGGGAGACGGGGCAAAAAGCATCACGGATTCTACACCGTTCGTCGGAAAATCGCGAATTCCACCTTGCGAGTACGCCCCTGCCACGCTCGTGTATACGCTCGTTTGATTTTATCAACCATTCTCTGTTGAACCGGTGTTGGATGGATACCGTTGGATAAATAACTCGATCGAAGATTGTTTGAATATGAATAACGAAAATAATGGGGTGGGGAAAAAAGAAAGGAGAAAAAAAAAAAAAAAAAAGAAAGAAAAAAAAAATGATGGAGGGAATAATTGCTACGGGACACGCGACTTGTTCTCATTTTTCCGCGAATTATCCTTCGATTTACGATTACGGCGGGGACTTTTTTTTTTTTTTTTTTTTTTTCTGGTTCTTTAGGATTTAAATATCGGGAGGCAAGAAATTTTTTTTTTTCCATTATTTTTCCCTCTGGAAAAAATATATTATAATTGGAAAGACGAGAGGAAAAGGTAACACGATGAATTTTTGAATTTCGAAAGGGTATACATGTATCGTAGAGGATAACGATGGAAAATTATGGCCGATAATAAAGGGAGGAGTAACCCGAATATGAATATTCTTATCGGCAATTAATATTCGAATTGAATATTTTGTTGCAGGTTTACCATCGTAACGGCCGAGGAATGGGCGAAATTGATGCAGTTTTACGACGTCGATTACCCGATCATCATCAAAAAGAATAATTCCGATCTTCAAACAGAGCCAAGTGAGTGCAAACGAGTTTAAATTACTTGACGTGGAAAATATAAAATATCGCAATTACAAATGTTACAGATTTAATTCACAGATTCCAAGTTTCAATTAAATAATTCGACGAGATTGGGCGCACGATACTTTAAATAGAAGTAGGAAACGACTTTTTAAAACTACGTGCGTACTTTTATCTGCTTTTTAACCTTTGATCTATTGATATAATATTGATGAAGAGGAAGAAAAAAAAAAAAAAAAAAACTAGTAAATTGTATTCCCTTATAGAAAGTTGAAAGCGTTCCGATCTTAATCGCATAACGACCTCTTATTGCTCGTAAATAAAATCAGAGAGGGAAAATCAGAAAGATAAAATTCTCGAGAGTTTTTCTACTCTCAACTCGATACCGAAAAATTAATTTCTTAACATCTTCAAATTCCATATACACATCTTGCAGCATCCACCCTTAGAGGGAACGACTCTCCTAGATATTTTTCCTGATTGACACCGCATTGGAATTTTGAAATCCATCAAAAAAAAAATTATTCTCGATAACCTTTTAGAAGAATTTTATTATCCCATACTCTCGAAAATTATTATTATTACTCTCTTCTTAACGAATACTATCATTGTTCGAGTTAGAGTTAAACGACTCTCACTCTTTCAATTTACTACGAATACTGAAAATTACTCTCAAGAGCGATCCTCGAGATTAGTCTTTTTCTTCTCTTCTCGCGATCGCAAGGACGCGAGAATCACAAAGAAAAGAAAACAATCGTCGACGCGAATCGAAAAGAATCGTTGCTCGTGTTGCAATAGAGGTCTATCAATTTCCTGGTCGGTGGAGGTCGTAGATCCGAAGACTGATCGTGCAATTAACGGCTTTCTCTTTTATTCCATCCTGGGACCGTTCGATCTTATCGGCAATTAATTTTCGTACGATTCCAGTGGGGTCATTATGTAAACGATCGTCCCTAGGCGGATCGTTACCAATGCTGCTCCCCCACGCGTCTCCTCCTCCCTCTCCTCTCCTCTTTTCTCTTTCATTTTCTTTCTCTTTTCTTTTCTTTTCTTTTCTTTTCTTTTCTTTTCTTTTATTTTTTTTTTTGCCCCTATCATTCCTGTTCTCTCTATCGATGCACGTAGCTCGGTCTAATTATCGGTACGCGGCCTAAGCGCGTGTACACGAGGCGATCTTTCCTTTTTCCGATTTTAACTGGATCTCTCAATACGTCTAGGATTTATTTGTGGCTTAATCGGTCGGTAGAAGGCTGGATACATTTCTCTTGCCACGAATTTCGCGTTTCCACGCAATTGGATCTCTCTCTCTCTCTCTCTTTCTCTCGATCCGGTCGCGGAATTTATTTGTGACTTAATCGAAACGAGGAAATTGTTGGACAGTTTGCTACACTGAAATTGTTTAGTTTCTTTTTCTGTTATAATGTAAATGGATTGCAAATAGGGGCAGGAATTTACGCGTGATTGATCCGGTTGGATCGAGATCAGACGAGATGGAATTGAGAGATCGTTGTCCTTTTCGTCCTTCTTAAATTGAACGTGGTAAAAAAAAAAAAAAAAAAAGGAGGGGGAGGATAATATATGAAAACGTATCTATATATACATAGAGATAAAAAGATTCGATATTTCGAAATTTTTTGAATATTCGGAACGCAGTTATTACATCTATGTTTGAATGAACAAAATACGCACGTGCGTGTGAAGGTGTGCATCGGTTCATCGTCCTCCCCCTCTCGAGGACCTCGAGCTCGAGGAATAATGCCAGAAGACATTAGCCACCGATTTACATAAATACCCCTGCCACGTTTGTTTCACTGCCATCCTCGATTCGCTTCTCTTCGCCAGACCCCAAAGTGTCTCATTATAATTAAGAAGTATCCTGAAAATTAACCGACAGAAAAACCGGTGCCGGTTTAGGGAGATGAGTAGGTGGTGCCGGTCCAAATGGGCTTCTAAAAGTTTCTCGCCCTTCATCCTCCGCCGAGGAGCATTCCTTTCATTGCAACCAACAAATTTTATGATCCTACGAATTTTCACTCTTCTTCTTTTTCTTTTTTTTTTTCTTTTTCTTGCGTAAATTAGTAATTCGAATTTCTTCGAACGTATCATTTTACGCTTCCATTTTCCTTTTCCGAATGGAAGATATTCCATTCTTAGTCGCGTATCACAAAACTTTTTTATTTTTTTTTCCATAATTATATTTTCTAATATCTATTTCAAACGACGAGTCAATTTTTCTCCCTTTCAAAATTTCCTCGAAATTCGACTCGATTCGAAATTTTAAATCATCGTAGAATTGTTTCGATGTATTCTTAATCGCGTATCATTTTTTATTTTTTTCATAATTACATTTTCATAGATCGATCGGGGAATATTTTGTAATATCTACTTCAAATCAATTTTCCTTAACTCATTTCAAATTTCAAATCATCACGTCACATGGTTTAGAGATATCTATTTTTATACATCGATCGGATTATTTTGTTATTCAAATCATCACGTGATTTGGAGATATCTATTCTTAATCGCCTACAATTCCTTTATTTTTTCGAAATTCACAGATTGATCGGAATATTTTATAATATCTACTTCAAATCAATTTTCAACTCATTTCAAATTTCAAATCATCACGTCACATGATTTGGAGATATCTATTCATAATCGTCTACAATTCCTTTACCTTTTCATAATTATATTTTCATAGATCGATCGGAATATTTTGTAATATCTACTTCAAACCAATTTTCCTTAACTCATTTCAAATTTCAAATCATCACATGGTTTGGAGATATTCTTAATCGCCTACAATTCCTTTACCTTTTCGTAATCACATTTCAAGAGATTCAGAGATTCGATCGGAATATTCGAGACGAATGGCGCGACGAAAGCTATCCCGGAACCCGTTAAGCCGGATCAGGTTTACGTGATCGGGGCACGCGCAAGCCCACTTTGTCCAACGACCGATCCCTGTCTCCTAACTGGCAGGCAAATTGAGTCCCGAAGGTAGCACCAGGGGGATCTTGCGGACCGATGTTCACGTCGTTTCCTTGCGCTGTTCGCTACCTCGCCGTGTCTCTCGCGTCGGAATGGACCGGCAGGCCCGCTCTAAACATCCCATTGTCTTGTCCGTCTCCCGGCCGCGAATCGCCGCCGATTTTTTCCCACCGACATTTGTCAAGCCTCTGCCTCGTTGGGGAATCGGACGATTTGAATTGCAAAGTCGTCCATGGACCTGGCGTCTCGTCCTCGGGATATCCAACCGGCGGATCGCGGATCGCCCAGATGGAGATGTCGTTTAAGGGTTAAAACCGTGATCCTCTCTACACTCGGCCGTCTCGTGTCCCCCTCTCTCCTCCCCTTCATCTACATCCACGATTGATCTTCCTCGGTCTTATTCCGTTCGATTCTTCGAGAGTATCTTCGAGTTGGAAATTTCGTTCAGTTTCAAGTTATGTTGTTTCGTGATCAATCGATTATTTTCAAAGAGTCTCCGAAGTTTGCAGTGCTTTTCTCTTCTGATCGCGAATTATGTCGATGTCAGCTATTTAATCATCACGAGTTCTCGTTGTAAAATTTGCGATACTTCGAAATTCTTTCTCTGTTGATCGCAAATTTCTCGAATATTTATCGAATATTAAGACTTGAAAAAATTACATAGGACGAATCTAGGGTTACCTAGCTCGTCAACGATCGATCGTTGTCGGCCATTAACAACGATTCCGATATCGAAGGAACGGTTTCCTTCCCCGTTAGGTTTTCCTGGAGCGGCGGTGATCGTGCAGATGCCCGTAGGGTGGTATTCAATCGCGTCACCTCCGCTTCTGTCAACCGATGCCTCCTCCGAACGATCCTCGGGGTTGTCGAGTGATTGATACGAGGTTGGACGGTGGCTAATGTGCCCTCGCGACGAGGAAAGAAAGAAAGGGGGGAAAGGAAAGACGCGTGGATCCGAAAGGGAGGCCTGGACCACCCTTCGGGGGCTTTAAGAGTGGAAGGAACGATCGTCCGGCGGAGGCTCGTTAGTCAGGGCCGTATCAGTCACCGAGAACTACCCTCCCCCTTCCCCGCCTTACCCATTTTTTGCCCTCACTTTTCCTCGTGTGGACGCGTGCCCTTAAAACCAGCTAAATTCTCTGTTTGTTCTGGCCTTCGTTGGACCGAGCTTCCTCGGGGTGGCAATCCTTTTGACGAGTCGTAGGATAATCCTTTACAGTGTTAGGCTGAAATCTCCTTATGCGGATGTTCACGTAAAATCGAATTTTTACTCACTGTATAACTGAATGGAGTTCGAATAGAGTGTATACTATATTTTGTGTCCTTTTGCATAAGTGTGTGAATATAATCCTTTGATAGGTTAGGGCAATCCTTTTGCTGCAATTGCACCTCTGATGATTCTTATAAGTATGGATTTTTATAGACTATATAACTGAATGGAGTTCGAATAGAGTGTATACTATATTTTGTGTCCTTTTGCATAAGTGTGAATATAAGTGTATGAATATAATCCTTTGGTAGGTTAGGCCAATCCTTTTGCTGCAATTGCACCTCTGATGATTCTTATAAGTAGGATTTTTATAGATTATATAACTGAATGGAGTTCAAGTAGAGTGTACTATATTTTGTATCCTTTTGCATAAATGTATGAATATAATCTTTTCTCGGTTAGGTCAATCCTTTTGCATCAACTACACCTGCTTATAAGTATGGATTTTTATAGACTACTAACTGAATGGAGTTCGAATAGAGTGTATACTATATTTTGTGTTCTTTTGCATAAATATATAAGTATAATCTTTTCTCGGTTAGGCCAATCATCATTGCATTAACTGCATCTCTGATCATTCTTATAAGTATAGATTTTTATAGACTATATAACTATATGGAGTTTGAGTAAAGTGTATATTATATTTTGTGTCCTTTTGCATAAGTATATGAATATAATGCTTTGTTAGGTTAGGCCAATCCTTTTGCACCAACTGCACTCTAATGATTCTTATAAG